ATCAATAAAATATATATTTTTTTAAAAATCAATAAAATAAATTAAAAAAAAAAAAAAAGAGTCAGCAATGAATACCGAATGGGAGGAATTGTTGCAATTTTAGAGATCAGGATGTCTCACGGAGATGACCACATGACGTTTCAGTATAATTTTAGAGGAGGGAACACCTAAGCAGAGGAAATGGCAAATGGGAAGGCCTTCTGACGGGAGTGTCTGGGATGCTCTAAAAACACTAAAGAACCAAGTGTTGCTAGAGCAGGATGGGCAAGGGTGAAAGGAACAGAAGAGATTAATAACAGGGGGCCTGACAATAATAGGGCCTTCTGCATTTTTGGCTACTGTATTGGTTAAAGATGATAGAGAGCAGAGGGAAACCAATTATGGGGCTAGCAATAATCCAGGCACAAGATGATAGCTTAAAGATTTACAGCCATGAAAAAATTAAGAAATGGTCTAATTCTGTATGCATTTTGAAGGTAGGGGCAATAGGACTTGCCAACAGATGGGAAGTAGAATGTGAAAGGAGTCAGAGAAGACAAGGTTTAAGACATGATGAACTAGATGGAATTGCCATTAATTCATATGGAGAAGGCTGTCCAAGAACTGTGATTTTGGAGGGCAGAAAATCAAGAACTCTACTTTCATAAGTATGAGATAGAAATTAGATACAATAGATTTAAATTAGATACATAAGGGCAGACAAAGTGGTTAAATATGTAAGTCTAAAAATCAAGAGATCAGAACTGTAGGTAAGTTTGGGAATTGGTGTATAGATGGTTTATAACACTACTAGAGGCCTAGTGCACGAAATTCATGGGGGGGGGGGGGGGGAGTCCTTCAGCCCAGCCTGCACCCTCTCCAATCTGGAACCCCTCGGGGGATGTCCGACTGCCGGTTTAGGCCCGATCCCTCAGTCAGACATCCCTCGCGCAATCCAGGACCACTGGCTCCTAACCACTCACCTGCCTGCCTGCCTAATGCCCCTAACTGCTCCCCTGCCTGCCTGGTCGCCCCTAACGGCCCTCCCCTGCCAGCCTAGTTGCCCCCAATGTGCATATGGCTGGGGTCCCTCAGCCCGGCCTGTGCCCTCTCGCAGTCCGGGAGCCCTTAGGGGATGTCCTCGGGAGAGCGGGCCTAAGTCAGCAGTCAGACATCCTTAGCTCTGCTACAGAGGCGGGAGAGGCTCCCTGCTGCGCTTGCCAACCGTAAGCCCAGCTCAGGGCTTCTGGCTAAGTGGCACCCCCCTGTGGGAGCACACTGACCACCAGGGGGCAGCTGCTGCATTGAGCGTCTGCCCCTGGTGATCAGTGTGCGTCATAGCGACTGCTGCATTGAGCGTCTGCCCCCTGGAGATCAGTGTGCATCATAGTGACTGGTTGTTCCACCGTTTCGTCAATTTGCATATTAGCCTTTTATTATATAGGAAGAGACTAGATGAGAAGACCAAGGGAATAATAAATCAGTATAAATATAATGAAGAGGCCCAATGATTAAGTACACCTTGGGGAACTTCAGGCTTTAAAAACAAGGAGACAGAAGGCTGTGACAGAGGTACAGTACTAGTAAGTAAAGTATCCAGGAAACCAAATGTAGAAAAGAATGACCAACTGTCACATGCTGTCAATAGGTTTAGATGAGAAATGAAACACTTGACAACACGTAGTTTCAAAAAGTATCTTATTTTCCTGTATATGTTAGGGTTACTCATCTCCCCTCTCCTCCTTCCCACCAATGTCTTTTCCTGATCCCATCTCTGCTCAGAGTAAAACTAAAATATGATACTATCCTGTCCTAGCCTGTATGGCTCGGTTGGTTGAGCACTGTCCCATACATCAAGAGGTTGCTGGTTGACTCTGGGCCAAAGCACATGCCTGGGTTGTGGGCTGATCCCCAGTAGAGGGCATGCAGGAGGCAACCAATCCATGTTTCTCTCTCATTGATATTTCTCTCTCCCTTCCTCTCTAAAATCAATAAAAACATATTTTTAAATAAAAATAATAATATCCCAATTTGGATCAAGCCACTTACCCTTTTCCTGAACTAGTAGAAAATATTTTTTAATCAGAAGGAAGAGAAAAAAGTTTTACTATGTGAAATACTTGTGTTTGAGGAATTAAGATTTAGAGAAAACATAATACAAAAGACCATCTTGCTTAAATCCAAATGTTATTTGGAAGAAGGCTTAAGTCACATTAAAAATAAGGGCCTTAGCCCTGGCTGGTTTGGCTCAGTGGCTAGAGCGTCATCTTGCTGACTGTGCTGACTGAATGGTCCCAGATTCGATTCCAGTCGAGGGCACATGCCCAGGTTGCAGGCTTGATCCCCAGTAAGGGATGTGCAAGAGGGCCATTCAATGACTCTCTCTCATTATTGATGTTTCTCTTTCTCCCTCTCCCTTCCTCTCTGAAATCAATAAAAATATACGAAAAAATAAAAAAAATAAGGGCCTTAGCCTTGGCTGGTGTGGCTCAGTTGGTTGGAGTGTTGTCCCAAGCACCAAAGGGTCATAGGTTCAATTCTCGAACAGGGCACATACGCAGGTTTCAGGTTCAATCTCAGGTCAGGTAGCTTAGGGGAGGCAAACAAACGACGTTTCTCTCACACATCGATGTCTCTCTCTCTCTCTCTCTCTCTCTCTCAAATCAATAAAAACCTATCCTCTGGTAAATACTAAATACAAATGGTTGCAAAGGATTACTTCTCTAACATTTAAACTAAGGATTTGCTGGGGTTTTTTTGCATTTAGACTGAATGCACAAGTAGCAACAGTCATTCCTTTAAGCTATTTAGTTTTAAGAACTTCTGAGAGACACCTGTATCCTGATACCACACCCTGTACCTGAACAAATCAGTCAATCCACATGTACAAAACCAAGATTTTCACTTCTGATTGTCCTGTGATTAGAAGTTTATATTTATGTTTTCTGAGTCACAAAAAAACCCATAATAGAGATATTGCAAATGCAAAACAGGAAAGCAATAAGTTGCTGAATTCAATAGACTCTAGTCCTCAAGAGGCTAAACTTCTAGATAAACCATTGGTATTTAAGACAAAGTCAAATGCCATGGAGGAAATGAATCATTTAACTGTTGCTATCATGCCACTTGATTCAGTGGGCAAAGTTGGTGTGGAAAACCTTCAAGGAGCCCTATGTTCTTACATTGGCAAATGCTTCTTTGAAACAGTACAAAACAGATTAGTGTGCCAGGCACCAACTAAGATGAAATAAAGAACACTTTCATTGCTAAATCAAGTATTCACGCAACAATTGTGATATCAGTTTCTACATCTTCTAGATAAAGCCTTACTCACCTGCCTTTAGGGACACTTGGATTTTTTTCATACTTGATGAATAGTGACTGTAGGATATACCAAGGGTTTAACAACTTAACAGAAATTATCTATGTAAGTTACTAGAATACAGGAATGTAAGTACCACATGATTGGTATCAATGACCAAAAAGAATTATATGTTCAGTTTTTATCAGCCAACAGAAGTCACACACTGAGAAAACAGAAGACACACCCTCTGCAATTCAGCTTCCGCCTCTACCACACCTATTATCTGCTGTTGTTAGAAATCCTCTAGCTTATTAATTGTAAAATCCTAAGTGATCAGTCAACAGTATATGAATCCAACGATCAGTCTGTTCACCTCAAAATGCCTCCCTCTTACCTTGGCTTTCACAAATACTACTTCACTGATTCTCCACTCCTGACTTCTACATTCCTGCCCCAATTTCATTTACTGCCATAGATACTTCCATTCCTCTCAAGCCCATTCTTCAGCTCTACCAACTACAGTATCACAATCTCATCCCACCCCAAAAACGCAACTAAAAACCTTGATTTTACTTTTCTTTAACACATCCTCTCTACTGCAGAACAATCTTCCAAAACATCCTTAATTCTACCAGATTTGAAATATCACCTAAGACTACACACTGCGGTCTCTCCACAAGCCTGAAGAATAGCATCAGCCAAGATGTTCCCACAGCACCTTTTGGCACACAATTTTATTAATGCACTAATTATATATACCATGTGGCAGTTTGACTTCTTTGGTGTCTGTCTCCCTTCCTGGTTTAAAAATCCTTCAAGAGCAAAAACTATTTCTCACTTACCTTCTTTTCACCAGAATATAGCTAGTGCTTGGCACATAACTCAAATATCTGTAAGCTACATATCTTCCCTATATAAAAGCATTTGATATTTGAAACATTAAGAAATGGTCTAATTTCTGAAGAACATTCTTACTACTAGTAAATTTCCCCCTCCCCACCAATTCTAGAGACTGATTTGTATGTCTCCATTTTATATTTATGTCCACCAGCCCACTGGTAACACTAAGAGATCCATGTTAACTAGTAAAAAATTTCAAAAATGTTTCAGAACCGGTTTTTCTGTCTTACTTCTTTGTTGTGCTGCACATATACTTTGCAGTAGTTTCAGAGGAATGACAAACTAGACAAAAGGGAAAACTTGGTTAAAAAAAAACCAAACACACATCTACTCAGTTTACAATCTACTCAGTTTACTCCTTCTGTTGAACCAGGTGCTCTATTTAGCTACCTTATAGAAAGGATCTCTTTTCCAAAGGCTTTAATTTTTGTCATTAGAAATTGTGAATCTAAATTTACTTGAAACTGAAAATTGGTCTTATCTATTTAAGGGGGGGGGGGGATCTCATTATTTCAGACAATGCAAAAGAGATGACCTGTATCAAAAAAATGCAGTTAATACTTTAAATTTAAAAAAGGTAAACTTAACCCCTTCATATTCTTGAGAACTTTGACAGATTACTTGTATAAATTCAATGTTCACAGATTATCTCAAACTATTTATTTTTTCCCCCTGACCCAGGCTTTTAAAATAACTTACCTTCTAACATGGTCTTGATAGTCACAGATTGTTTGGCAATTTCAACATCAACTTCAAATATCTCTCCATCAGAACTCTGCAACTTAATTGAAGGCATCTAAAAAAAAAGGCATTATATTTCATTTGAAATTTACGAGATATTATTTCCATACACTACTGATTTTTTAAAAGTAAAATCAAGGTTTTTCGTTGGTTTTTTGGGAGGTGGGATGACTCTGTTAGAAGCCCTCTATAACTATAAAATCCTAAAAACCTGTAGTATATAGCCCTGTAAAACACTGAGTGGTTACTCACGGGCTAACATACAAGTGTTTCTATAAAATTCTTTCAAAGTATAATTCCTAGAAACAGAAGCTCTTAAGGCCTTCCCTACTGAACTCATTGCTGGTTTAAATTTAAAGTTACATTCCATACTTTTGATGCAAAATATTTCTAAAACGGGACTTACTTTTTTTGTCTGCCTTTCTGCTTTCACTCAATACTGACTACTGCATTTGAAGTGAACTGTCACAGTTAACTACCTGCAAACCTGAGGGAGGGCAGTCCAAAATAAACAAAGCTACCAAATAAGATAGTAATTTTCCTCTAGTGAAACTTACCAATGAAAAATAAGTTCAAATCCAAAGTTGATCATGACATACTTATTTATGTTTGGATCAATGCAAGATCATATAACAGAATAAAGAGCTAAGGATAAACAGATGTCAATCTAATTCCCTATGCCAAATAAGAAACAAATTGCACAGCGTCCTTTTTATCTTTCATTACTGACTGTCCAGGTGTCCAAGTTTGAGATCTTCTGCCAAAATCCTCATAGTAATAACCTACTACTCGTTTCAAAAATGTATTTATTAACTAAGATTGAGTCATTAGGAAAAAGACACCTCTTACATGAAAGTCAATTGAGCAATTAACTTCAAAGGACTTGAATTCTGGCCAAAAAAAAAATTGTTTAAAATTAAAAATTCTAAGCCAGCAATTTCTTACCATCTTCGCATTCTTCGGGAGAAGAGGGTGGGGGAAGAGAGAAAGGGTAGCAATACCTGCCCATAAAGATTAATTCAAGACCTCTTCAAATTTCAAGTACAGATTTTATGATCCTTTTATTTTGTTTGTTTTATTTTGTTTTGTTAATCCTCACCAGGGGATATTTTTCCATTGATTTTTAGAGAGAATGGAGGGGGAGAGACAAAGAGAGGGAAACACTGATGTGAGACACACATCCATTGGTAGCCTCCCACACGGGATGAGCCTGCAACCAGAATCGCATTCGAGACCCTTTAGTCCAGCGGTTCTCAACCTGTGGGTCGCGACCTTTGGGGGTCGAACGACCCTTTCACAGGGGTCGCCTAAGACCATCGGAAAACACATATTGAGTACATAATTACATATTGTTTTTGTGATTAATCACTATGCTTTAATTATGTTCAATTTGTAACAATGAAAATACATCCTGCATATCAGATATTTACATTACGATTCATAACAGTAGCAAAATTACAGTTATAAAGTAGCAACGAAAATAATTTTATGGTTGGGGGTCACCCCAACATGAGGAACTGTATTAAAGGGTCGCGGCATTAGGAAGGTTGAGAACCACTGCTTTAGTCCATGGGCCGACACCTCTATCCACTCAGCCAAACTGGCTGGGGCTCAAGTATAAATTTTGAAGACTTCTGAGAGTCTTAATCCTGTGATGTCACTATTAACGTGAACGTGGATAATTTGGCATTTAAAACTTTCATTCATTTTAGGTTTAAAGACTTAAGTCCCATTAAACCAGTTAAAATGTTCATTCAGCTTTTCCCAGACAATTATCTCCATCCCCCAAACAGACAAGCTATTAGGGAAAGGAAGCAAAAAGGTAAAGGTATGTTTTAAAACCAGGCACTGAAATATCCTCTCACTGACCCATGATTGTAAAGAATTGAATTTCGCTTTTCAGTTTACAAATATGTCTGCTTCTCCATGTTGCTTAGTGCTTGCCATAATGCAGAGGGCCCAGGGCAGAGGACCTGCCCTGTGACAAGGCAAAAAAAAAAAAAAGACGACGAAGAAGATATCTCCAAAAGAAATATTTTAACCTAAGTCCAATGTTCTTTTTATGTTCTATAGTACTGGAATAAACATTACAGAATCACAAGTCTGGCAATGCAGTTGATAAAATTATTTTTAAGCAAGACTCATTGCACCTTTTTTTTCAAATAACTCTCAATAAATAACAAGATCTGCTTAGTCATAGTCAAATTAATATATTAGGTTACTCTTAAGGGAGTTGAAGTCTTATTAAATAGCAGGGAGTCAATCGACTAATCTGTAATTCGATGCACATTGTAATCCTAAACTTAATATTTAAAGAGAACTTTTTTTAGTGTTATACAACTGGAATTTGGTGCAACAATTTTTAATAATGGATGAAATTTTGATTTGACATGCTTTCAAGACCGTTACTTCATTTATTTAGGCTCTTGTAGCTGGAAATTAAATCACTCTCCATGGCTAGCATGATGTGAATTCTATCAACATCATGAAGGGAAGAAAACTGTTTTAAGTGACACCTCTTTTCAGGGGGCAGAGTGGAGAAGTGCATTGCTCCACGACACACATAATTCTATTGTGACGTTCTGACCAAAAAAAAAAAAAAAAAAAAAAAAAAAAAATTCATGACCCAAAAACCCAAACCCGAAGTCTCCATTAAAAAAATGATCTAAAGCAAAAACAAAACAAACAAAAAAAGTGAACCAAATCAGGTTCACTTTTTAAAAGCCAGACACCTTCAGTTTTAGAGTTAGGGTTCCTAAAAGTCACACCCTGTTGACTATGGTACCTGCTATTACAACCGTTGTGTCACCAACTTCTAGACTGTGGCAAAATAATAGGAATATTCAAGAGGAACGGGCAGCTATCTGCAAAGATCCGGCCCCACCTCAGCGGGCGGAGACCCGGTTACTAGCGACGCCAGAGACGGGAGGGAAAGGACCAGCGCTTTAAAGAAGCTCTCGGACTAGCACCGCCACGCTCCCTCTCCCACCACAACAACACGGACACACGCCCGCGCTCCCCACAG